GTATTTATATATCCAACGTCTAAGCTCTACTTTTTACATTATAACACCCAAATCTTTCATATTTCATTAAAAATACCATCATTTTAACTTTTGAAAAAAATGAAATACACATTTTAATGCATAAGTAATGTGATATTAATGTAAAAAATGAAGTTTAGATATTAGATATTAAAATACAAAAGAATTAAGTGGCATGTGTGTAAATATTCTTATATTTTAATTTCATGGAAAAACCAGAGTTTATCATATATGCAACACATAATTAAAATAAGTGGACAATTCATAAAGTTAAATTGACATTGTACATTTAAGTCATGCAATTTGTGATGTTTGTTCATAATCAAACTCCAACAAATAATTAAATTTCAGCATATTCATAACTGTTTAAACTTAGAGGTTTTCTTCATAGCCGAACCATTTAAACTAAATTAAACTTTTATTCAGTTTTATAAAAATTTTAATTGGTTCAGTTTTTCGAATTTTGGATTTTGGTTGGAATCGGTTTGACCAATTTGTAAACCGATCCATCCAAATCGACAGAATGCTCACACCTAATAGTAGTAGTCTCCCAAGGCTAATTATGGTGTTATTCTATAGTTGCTTTCAACCCTCCGTCCGCAGGGTTGCGCCCTGGCTTGACCCGGTTTGCTAGAACCAACCAGGTCAGCCCTAGGACTGTGCATTGGAACATTCCTAACAAATTTCTATCATCCTACCTTCACAACCAAGCTAATCACATCTTGTAGTGTCTAGAAAGGTTGAACCACACTAGTTATAGATGGTCATAGACCACCCACAAAACGTACAATTCAAACATGTTACATTTCAGCCCAAACTGTTCGAATTTAGTAGCATATTCTTCCACAAACCATTCTTGTTGATGAAGTTGAAGTCGCCGAATGAAAACCTCTTGACAATAGTGTTCCGAAAAAATTTTACATTGTAATTATTTTTCATCTTTCTCCAATGGGTAATTTTAATCAACCCTCCATTTGTCGCGCTCTCTTCATGTATTCCCACCAAATAGAGGTTTTCTTCCTCAATTTAATGGCTGCAAGCTTAACAATTTGTTCTTGGGGAACTTCTTTAAATTCAATAATTTTCTCTATCGTTTATAGCCAACTAATAAATTCATCCGGGTCTAGTCGGCCTTCAAAATCCAGAATGTAGATCTTGATTCCAAAATCAGCAACCTTAAGGTATTGTTCCCTCCTCCAGTCATATAGAGATCGTGCCTCATCGCTGAAAGATTCTTGGCGAAAGGTGTTTTCACCTTCTTCATTATCCACCGCATCTAATCTTGGCTCCACCGTCTGTTCTTTTGAACTTCTTTGCTCCAAGTCCTCAAGTTGCTCCTGTAGCATCTTATTTCACATTGCATGTCTTCGACAACCAATTCTTGATTAGGTCTTGCAACATTTCTTCATGGTGGCATGTTGCTTCGTTAGAAAGTTGTAAAGAAAAAGAAGAGAATAGGGGAGCAGCACAACCATGAAGAGCAAGAAGCCAAAAATTGTCTCCTTCTAAAACCGAAATTCAATGGAAAAAATCAAGAAGATAGCAGACTTGTTGATTCCAAGAAACTGAAACCGCAACCAAAAATCTCAAACAGAAGAAAGGAAAGATAATACCAAAGTCTTTGAAAAAGAAAAGGTCATGGGGAAAGATGTAGGGTCCTGATACCAAAAATGGTACTAGTGGTATGTCGATTGGGAAAGAGCAAAAATCATAAAGGAAACCGTAAGAAATTTATTGGCAAGAACACCACCTAAAAGCCACCTCAGAATACAGCAGGAAGGGAGAGGAATGAGTACCAAACCCGCTCAGGAAAATAGAAAACTCTCTCCAAAAACTGCCTACCGAACACTGCCCGTAGGTCTTTCATAATTAAGCTACAGAAAAACACAGAACACAACAACAACAACAACAACAACAACAAAGCCTTAATCCCACTACGTGGGGTCGGCTACATGAATCTTTTTTCTCCATTGCGTCCTATTTAGTGTCATATTTTCATTTAGTTCTAGTAAATTAAGATCATTTTTAATACAATAAGCCCAAGTCTTCCTAGGTCTACCTCTGCCTTTCTTAACACAAGTCGAATTTAAAACATCTACTCTCCTAATCGGATCATCAGATGGTCGACGTTTAATGTGACCAAACCATCTAAGACAACTTTCTCTAATTTTGTCGACGACTTTCTCTAATTTTTTCTGTCACAGGAGCTACACCAACCCTATCACGAATATATTCATTCCGCATTTTGTCTCTAAGTGTAAAGTCACTCATCCACCTAATCATTCTCATCTCGGCAAAAAAAAAAAAAGAAAAACGAGAAAAAAACACATAACACAAAAAAAAAAAAAAAAACTGAAATAAAAGCCACACATATATGAAAAAAAATATATGATAAAAACAAAAGTTGCATAAATTAAAAAATACATTAAATGGACTGCAGCAGTCTTCAAGGGATTTATTCTAAAGGTTTACCAAGACCACACTCAATATGGGATATAAAAAAATCAAGGAAATCATATAATATTTGCTGATATGTAGCTTCAAAAAGATATCATCACTACTAGCTTATGTCAATAACATTATCATGATAGGTAGTGACTTAGAAGAATGAATTAAAAAGAGTCATCCAAGAATTTGAAGTCCAACAGTTCAACAAACTAAAGTTTTTTCAAAAAAGTCAAAGAAGACGCGTCAGTATAAAATTCATCCACTTATCATTAAGTGGACCCAAAAATATCTACACTATCAATGTTGTGAGTCAATTCATACACAATCCTAAAGAATCTCATCTCAGAATAATTGATAGAGTTCTATGATATTTGAAGAAACCCTTGGCAAAACATTGTATCCAAAAAGGGGGATGCTTTAACCCTTGAAGCATGCACATATGCAGATTATGTGAGCTTCTGATTTAAAAGAGATCAACATCAAAATATTTCACATTCATATAAGACAATCTAGTTATTTGAATAAGTAAAAAATAAGTTATGATAGCAAGATGGAGCATAGAAGAATAATTTAAATCTAAAGTACTAGGAACTTGCAAGTCATATTACTAAAGAACATCTCAAAAATTTTAAATATTAAATAGAAAGGCCCTATGAGGCGGTCGTAAGTCAACCATCAATATTGTACATAATCCTGTGCAGCATGACCATATAAAGCATATTAAAATTTATAAAAAGTTTATAAAAAAGAAGCTTGGCATAGGTTTAATATGTACTTCATTTGTAATCATAGGTGAAAAAAGCATATACTCGCCACAAAATCAACAAGGGTAGTCATTCAAACTTTCTAAGCAAGCTTGGAGTGGATGAAATCCATTTATTCACTTGAAAGGGAGTAAGAAAACTAATTTTTGGTTTTTGGCCGTAACTATTGTCCTCTTCCTTCCTTGAAACTACCACCTCACAGATCCATAGAATCTTTGCTGGCAGTTCACCAATTCATGGGAATTTTAATTATTTGAGGTTATTTTTGTTCTCTAATTTTCCAAGTTTTCTATTAGAATCTCTATTGAGAATGTCTAGATTATGCACATATTGGAATGAAAGCACACCAAATTATTCTCCAATTCTAGTCAATGCCCCTAATGAATAACAGAATGAAACCAAAATAGTAAAATGATAGTCAAATATTCTCACCAACGTTCAGCCTAATGGTGTTGCTGCTGATAATAATTGAAAGGCAAGATACTGATGCACATCATGATAGAAATTGCATGGCATCATCAGTTAAAACCATAAGAAAAAAAACAAATTTCCCATGTGCCCTTCTTCACAAAAACAGATTTCACTCCAAGCATAGGCAACTCTACGATAAGCTATTCCATGTACATGTCCCATCATTATAAGAAGAAGAGGCTAATTTTCCATTTGGCCTTTACAAAAATAGAATCCAATCCTTGCAAGGTAAAGAAGTTAGATAGAGAGCTCTTCAACTTACTCATCTCTTCATGATTTGAGCATACATTCAAAAGGACATATGCTTTCTGCCATACCAATGGCAGTACAGATTGCACATTCTATGTTGAGATAAATGCACTGCTCCTGCTTCAGTCTTATTCTACATTTACACCCTTCTTCTATTAAGCTAAGTTGGGAAAAACTTATGCTATAACCAAACAATTCCTGCAGTTTCACTGACTTCCTCCCATCTTCCACTTCAGCTATTGTCTCTCCCCAAACTACCCACACAATGCAAGTTTTCTCTCATTCTATCCTCAAGTTCCTACCTTTTGCCACCCTCTCATCGTGAAAGAGAAAACTTGGGCTGCCAGAAACCGCTATATGGCTTCATGCCATAGGTTTTAATTGGTTCAACAAATTCAAAAGTTAAAGGATATAAGCATGGTCCCTGTTTCCCTAAATGAAAAGTATGCTAAAATTCAATCAGTGGGGACCTACAACAGACACACTTCTTAGTCAACACAACTGAAATTACAGAAAGAGAGCAGAAGCATAAGCAACCCCATCGGAACATAAAAAAACGCGTATGAGATACCGAGGCAACAAGTTAAATTTTGAAGTGAAAAATCCAAGAAACACCTCAAAAGGAAAGCCTCAATGTAAATTCATTCTTATCAAATATCAAGCTCAATATGTTAAAAATGCACATGTTACTTAAAAAAAAATAACGATCGAATAAAAGTTCACGGCATAATAAAAAACATAACAACAAAATAGATGCAGCAAGTATCTCACGGTACAAGCCACCGACATGTAAAATGAGTAAACTCTGCCCCTTATCCTCGAATAAAGATACCGTTGATGGCTATCTTTCGAAAATATACCCTGGCAGAATTATAAATCCATACTCAGCACAGATCAAAATCATAAACATCTAATAATCATCCAACACGATTTCTCAAACTCAACAGCCACAGTAATTAGAGCTCCACAACTTATCACAAACGGAAACACCATATAGAAGCGATCCAAAAAAAAGCATCAACAACAGAACAAGCATCAGTCGAATCTTACTGCTGCCCATCCTCGAAGGTCGGGAGAGGAGCCTGCTCACCATTGTAGTGGGTGACGAGAGTATCAAAGCAGTAGACCACCATTTCTTGGTTAGCAGAGACCATCCTGCGTTGCAAAGGAGTAGGATCGCCGGAGCGTGGCTGACTCCGGGGATCGAACCGCCGAGAAACAGACGAAGGATAAGTCTTCTCCTACTTTTTCTTCCGAGAAGAAGAAGCGTGGAGGCTACGGTGTCTCGACAATACTATATGCAAGCGACTCTGCTCGCGGGACGATGGCGTACAGTAGGGGTAGACTGGAAAAGTAGGTGTAGAGAATATGTTGAAAACGGAGCTCTTTCAGCGTGGAGCAGGGGACAAATCTCGGTGAAGATAGCCATTTAACACAAGAACATTGGGTGAGATTTAGGCATTTAGTCACATGTCATATTTTTTATAAATTTGTATATTTAATAGCTAAATATTTATTTTTATTTTTAAAATAATTTTGACATAATTATATTAAAATCTATACGTTAATATGTAGCTTATGTTTAAAATTTTAATATTGGTGGTATGAAAACTAAGAATGTCATATAAAAAATTATATTGATTTGGATATTGTGGATGTAAATATGAGAGTGATACCTACATGAACCCTTAAAACAAATCATCAAAAACTATTGATGGCTTTTTTCATGACTTACTTCAAAAAGAAGTCAACTTTAATGTTTTTTGATGGTTGAATGTGTGTGTCTGATACGCCCTGCACTAATGCTAAAATCCTTACACACCCTAATTCCAAGTGCAGGGCCCCACGCAAATGTATGTATCGTATTAGTAATATCAAATTTTGAGTCTGGAATGTCAATCCCACAAGGAATAAGGCAATTAGCCTTAAGAGAAGTTCTAACCTACTAAAATTAGTCTTAGCCTGGAAGTAAGGCTGGTTATAATTTGTGCTAACTGGTTTTACAGAATTACAAACTACAATTGAAGATTTACACCTACAGAAATTCTACTAAATATATTTGAATTGTTGATAACCAATATATAAAACTATCATCTCTTGCAATGGTTTAAGTTGCTTGGAGGAAGATGAATGTTTTAAATTATAATCGTGACTAGTGACAATTATGAACAATTCTCTTCTTTTCCCTCCCCTGAGTGCTAAAGAAGTTTGGTTAAACTGGTCTTAATTCCTTGAACGCTAATTTGAATCCATCAAATATTATTTCCCTATATATATGCATCTCCCTATAGTTTACTTTTGTTTCATACCCTATAGTTCAACGTGAATATTCTAATTGTTTTCCCATGGTTCTCCTAAGTCATTATGTATCACAACATATTTTAACTGATCATTTGGCGATGATGAAAAATAAATGAAGCTTTGAAGAATATTCATCACATTAAAGATTGAAAACCAAATTTAAAAGAATTATACAATTCTTACACAACTAACATAATCACTACAAAAGAAATGTGAAAATACTGCTCACAAAGCATGAGAAAACACCACAAAATAATGTTAATCCACTAGGTAATTGTGTTTAATAAAAGTACAATAAAAAAATGCACAATACTTAGTTTTTACCTCGTTATATTGCTCTAAAAATGCTCTCATAGGATCTCTCAGACCCTTGCTACTGTGTTGAATAATCTCCTTGCAATACACCTCTCAAATCTCACTAAAATCTCTAATTAAAAGCCCTAATTCTCCCCAACAGCAAACCTACCGTTCTCCTCTTCTTCTCCATGAAAATCGTCTTCTAAATCCCCTTAAAGAACAACCGTTAACCTCCAAATAACTCCCCATGTTATTTGGGAGAAACTGTTGAAAAGCTGCCCAACAACTGCAGGCACCTAGACGTCGGTCTCCTGTTTGCTCGACTATGCACTGGCGCCTATGTGCCCAAGTAAGTGGCGCCAAGGTGCTCGGTTCCAATGGTTTGAGTCTGGGTGTCAGTCCCTTTAATCTAATTGATCTATATTAGCCCCGTTGCGCTCCATTTCTTCTCCACTTTGTTTCACTTCTACTACGTATTGGATCAGTAAGAAAAACATAAAAATACCTTCTTTAGTGTGAAATTTCGTCCATAAAAATATGCAAAATATAAATAAAATTAGGCATGTTTTCTACACATCAGAATTCCCCAAGCATAAACCGTTACTTTTCCATAAATAACACTAGAATTTTAAAATCAAATATATTACTTTGAGGAAGTGGCTATACTTAATTATCAACAAATTTACATAAAGAAAACTCATAGTATAACTTTAAATTAAGTCTAACAAATATGTCTAGCCTTAAGGTAAAAGCAAATTTTTCATTTCAGTATAAAAACTTGATTTTCTTTCTAATTTACTTTTTTTCTTGGTTTAGGATGTATTTTTCATTCCTTAGCATTATTTTAAAGGGAATTATTATATATGGATAAACTTTTAATAATTTTGAACTCCGCTATCAACTCTCTAAAGTGATGTCTACCACTCTCCTTCACTTTAACATGTAATAGTTAAAACTATGACTTGAATAGAGACTTAATTCTTATGAAGTATATATTTAATTATATATAGTTAAACAAGTATATAGATGGACTTTACATTCGTGAAACAAAATAACACCTATGATATGCAACAAGGTTTATGATAATTTTTTCAATGATGATGGACTCTACATTCGTGAAAGTGGGTTGTGAGAGAGTTTGCGTGTAGGGGAAATAGTACTCTTCAAAAGTATATAACTACATATTTTGCAATAAGTTAGTTCTATAATATGTAAAATATTAAAATGCTCTCTAACATGTGATTATTTAATTTGGAGAATTTTTATTTCTTAATTCAAATATAAATCAACCTACAGTCGCATATTTAACATTTATTTGATAATACACACACACACATATATATGGTCAATTCAATCAACGTGTTCTTCTTTACTTGTTATTTATTTTCTTGTTTTTTTATGAAGATTTTAAAGGTCTTAAGCAAGATCATAGTATCGAGGAGGTAAAAACCTTGGGGACTTTCAATCGGGCAAAAAATTTATAATATGCTTAGAACTAATTTCATGATGCTTTTTAAATAATATAAATTTTGTTTTTAGAAGTACTAATAGAATCAAGTTTAACATTTCTAATCGATTGTAATGGTGTCAAATACTAGAAACTATTTTTACTTTGTCACGGTTAGTTGATACTAAATATCTAGTAGCTTCACAAATCTTAATATTAGAAAAATAATTAGTGAACCGTTAATAAGGGATAATGAAAATGTTTATTGTAGCTTGACTTCATTTTATGTATTTATAAATCTAATATATAGAATTATTATATATTTATTATGTTAGTTTTTCATTATTTTATTTTTATGACCCACTGTCATTTATTTTAATAGTAACTAATTAATTGATTAATTAAAAAAAAATGGTCATGTCTCTTCCCAATAGACGTTGTATCATTTCACTTTAATTAATTAATTAAATTATTTTGAATGAATGGACATGTCTCTTCTCAATAGACACTGTATCATTTTGTTTTAATTAATTAATTAAATTATCTTAAATCATATTGATCAATAATCACTATGATGAATGGTGGTTAATAATGGATAATTAAGAGAAATGTTGTGTCTCTTCCGTGGGATAATTAAGAGAAATGTTGTGTCTCTTCCCAAGAAACTTATATTTTCTCTTATAAATAAGATAAGGGGTCTCTCTCTCGTAAGAAAAAAATATATTCCTTCTCTCAATCGGAAAGTACATAAATAAATAAGAATTAGAGAGAGAAATTCTATCTTTTCAGATTGAATTATATGATCATGAATACAAGTCTGTATATATCATTTATGGGTATGTGAAAATCATGAATTCAAAGATCTTGATCATCATGAATTTTATGAATTTTGGGTCCTGAAATTGGATTTTATAAATTTAAAAATCCTAACATGTGATATCAGAGTCTCGATTGTTAAATTTATGATTTTTCATTTAATTTTATTTATGTTAATTGGATAAAATTACCGCTGTAAATTAGATCACTAAAGTTAATCGGTGAATTGGGATATTATTGTTTATTGATCCCGAAATGAAAATATAGCTGTGTAAAAATTATAAAGTTGACTCTGCTATGTGACGGTGCAAAAAAATTGATGCTCTATATATAATTAAGAAATTTAAACAATTAATGTTGGGATTTTACGCAAGTATGCATATCGTTATCAAGTAATAAAATAATTTTTATTTAAACCCCAAATATCGATCTCATGATGAAGGTCTAAATTTGAAATGATAAATTAACTAGAAAATTCACAGAAAGTAAAATAAAATTACTGTCACTAATTTCGAATGTTGAGATATTATCAGAACTAAATTATTTAATTACTAGCAAAACTGAAATGCAAAATTTAAACTGTAATTACTAAACTATTAAATTACAAAACTATTAAATTATTAAACTATGTTTATGTGATGAAGATTTCTTATGTGAAAAAGCATCGTTCCCGCTACAATGAGATTTTGGTAAAATGAGATGAGATAAATGATTAGAATATGTATTGTGCAAAATATGAGCTGTTTTAATTTTCTACCCTGATACAGTGTTATAGAAAATTATTGGTTAATCTCAAGTTTAGTCCCTAAATCTGTGGCTAGGCTAGGAGGACACTGGCTCCCACTTAAGCGCTCCCACTTTCCTTCCCCTGAAGGCTAACTCTTGCTTTAGTTCTTAACACAAAGATCGAATTAGAGATTTTTAGTTTGTCACCTTAAAATCAAAAATTTAACACCCAACAATGTATATTTCCCTATTTATTTGTACTTAATTCCATGAACAAAATTCTCCTTCATAGAATCAATTGTGATCCTCACTCTGTTGTAGAACTCTCACCCCATTTCCCGGATCATATGTTTCACAAAAATTTTTAACAATTAAATTGACCAGATCAAAAAGTAAATTAAGTTTAAAGTTGAAAAATAATCACAATTTATTTTATATTTTAACATTGACACATCCATATTATCTCTGCATTTCACCATAGCTCAGAGTATGGAGAAAGATAAAGGAAACTACTCAGACTTTGTGAGAGAGATACAACAAAACACAAATTTCATATATAAAAGAAAGTTCATACAATACTATTAAACAAACAAAACTTATCTGAAACTCTTTCTCAAAACAAATCCCATGTAGTCTCTCATAGAAACAGTAGGAAGAAGAAATCTCTCACTTTTCTCCTTCTCCAACAACTTTTAAAGAAGAATTCACACTTAATCTCACCACAAAAACTCTAAATTATAAGAATAATGGACTCTAAATGATAGTGGAATGAAATGAAAGAGCGTGTCATGCGTAGGAGGTTGAATTTTGGAGATGAGAAGTAAGGAAGAGTCGCATTTCTCATCAATTTCAGCCCCAAATAAAGCCTAAAGTTGGTTTTCCAATAGGTGCATAAAAAAAACTCTTAAAAAAGCGTCTAAATTCGTTGAATTTTTTAGAAACAGGGTTTGCACCGACATTGGCGCCGTCGGCGCCAATGGTCTTCTATTTAATTCACTGTTTTCTGTCAAACGACGTCGTCGGCGCCTAGTCTGACGCTGAACAAATTTTCATATTTTCCATTTTAACTCCAAATTTCATCCTTTTTGCTTCATTTTTGCTCGAAGTCCTAAAAATCAACAGCCTGTAAGAAAACATAAAAATTTCCTTCCATTAAAGTACAACAATATCACTAAAAATGAGTATAAAATATAGGTCTAAAAATACATATATTTTTGGTATATCATTTATTCAATGTTTATATTATGTTTAATTTGTTAGTCACCAAAGTGGTTAAATTAGCATGTTTAATAGCGTCAAATTAAATAAATTCAATTACTCATACGTATGTGATGCTTATTATGAAATAATTTTTTATTTAATTATGAGTATATTGAAGTTTAATGATTATAAAATATTTGTGGATCATCCAAATATTGATTATTTGTTTTATAATCTTTGAATATGATTGTGACCTATTTATATACTTGGTTAGATATGTTTATATATCCAAAGATAATAAACATGTCTAATTTGAGTATAAACAATTGATTGTCAATTATGTTAAACTAAATTATGTTAAACTAAGAATTCAAACATCAATTATATTTATTATTATGCATTGTTATATCACCCAAAGAACATTTTTAATACACTACTAAAGTTTTCATTTAATCTGAAGAGAAAGAATTGAAATATTAATAAATAATAACATCCTTAATGATTTGGATTTCACTTATCTTGACATCTGTGTGGATTGTATTAAGGGAAAACACACAGAAACCGCACTTAAGAAAGCTACCACAAGAAACACACAACACCTTGAAATTACGCACACAAATGTTTGTGGACCTTTTGATGTTTTATCTTTTGGTGGAAAAAAAAAATTTATCACCTTTATCGATGGCTTTTCACTTTATGGGTATGTCTACTTATTGGATGAAAAATCTTAATCACTATATGTCGTAAAGGTGTTTATATCTGAGATTGAGAGATAATTAGACAGAAAAATGAGAATCATCAGGTCCAATAGAGGTTGTAAATATTATGGAAGGTACAATGAATCTAGACAATATCCAGTATCATTTGCTAAATTCCTTCAAACTAATGACATATGTGCTCAAACACTATGTCAGGAACACCGCAACAAAATAGTGTTGCAGAAAGGCGAAACCGTACTCTGATGAAAAGGGTTAGGAGTATGATAAGCAATTTTTATTTACCCTTATCATTGTGGATGCATGCTTTAAAGACCGCTGCATATTTGTTAAACATGATTCCTAGTAAAGCAGTTATACAGACTCTCTTTGAACTGTGGACAGGAAGGAAATCTAGTTTAAGGCACCTGCATATTTAGGGCTGCCCAGCGGAAATAAGGATTTATAATCCACATGAAAAGAAATTAGACTTAAGAACAACTAGTGGTTTCTTCATTGGTTAACCAGAAAAATCAAAAGGGTCTAGATTTTATTATTCTAACCACAGTACGAGAATTATTGAAGTTGGAAATGATGCGTTCATTGAAAATTGTGAAGTTAGTGGGAGTTTGGAATCACGTAAAGTAGAAATCCAAGAAATTAACGATCAAGTTTCTTTACCTGAAATTTCTTCTCAAGTTGTTATTCATACAGTTGTTGAACAATTTGACAACTTACAAAAACAACAGATAAATGATCAAACACCTCATAATGAAACTGTCACTAATGAACCTACATTAGATTAACCAAATGAAGTTGTACCTAGAAGGTCTCAATGATAAAGAAGGTCTACTACTTTTGATGATTATGCGATTTATCTACATGTGTCTGAATTTGACATGGGAGCCAATGAAGATTCAATTTTATGTTCACAAGCCATAGAAAGTGCAAATTCTTCTAAATGGTTAGATGCAATGAAAGATGAGTTGAAATTGATGGATCACAATAAAGTTTGGGATGTCGTTGAATTGTCTGAAGGTTGTAAAAAAGTCGGGTGCAAACGAGACTTTAGGACCAAACGCGACTCAAATGACAATATTGAACGATATAAAACCAGACTTGTTGTCAAATGTTTCACACAGAAATATGACATCAACTGTAAAGAAATATTTTCTCTAATTTCTAAGAAAGATTCATTTAGAATTATCATGACACTAGTAACTCATTATGATTTGGAGTTATAGCAAATGAATGTGAAAACTGTCTTTCTGAATGAAAATTTAGATGAAGATGTCTACATGAGTCAACCTGAAGGATTTTTGGTTGAAGGAAAGAAAAATATGGTATGTAAACTTAATAAATCAATATACGGACTTAAGCAAACTTCCTGACAATGATATATTAAGTTAAATGATACCATCACTTCCTTTGAATTTAAAGAAAACACTGTTGATCGGTGTATATATCTGAAGGTTAGTGGGAGCAAGATCATATTTCTCATTCAGTTTGTTGATGATATATTGCTAGATACTAATGATCTTGGCTTATTGTATGAAACCAAGAATTTTCTTTCTGAGAACTTTGAAATGAAAGATATGGGTGAGACATCCTATGTGATTAAAATTGAAATATTTCGTGATAGATCATAATGATTGTTAGGATTGTTTCAAAAAACATATATCGATAGAATTCTTAAGAGATTCAATATGAAAAAGTGTGAAACAGACTATCAATGCTGCATCCAATATGAAAGCTGAATTTGTGGCATGCTTCGAAGCAACAATTCAGAGATCATGGTTGCAAAATTTTATTTCAGGACTTGAAATTGTCGACAAGATTGCCAAATCGGAGAACATTTACTATGATAACTCCGTAACAATTATCTTTTCTAAAAACGACAAATATTCCAAAGGTGCTAAGCATATGAAATTAAAATACATTATCATTAAAGAAGAAGTTCAAAAATATATGGTGTCAATTGAATATATTAACACCAACCTTATGATTGCGGATCCATTAATGAAAGGGTTACCATCTCAGACATTTAAGGAACATGTTATGAGAATAGACATTACTGAAATCATTTATTAGTTTTATGTTTATTGCTCTTTATGTTTGACACTTTGAGCTCAGTTTATTGTTTCTGATATTTATGTAACTTATTTTATCACTAGTGTATACTTTATGTTGTGCGATGTTTGACAAGATTTGTCTTTTAATAGACATTATGAGATCATGATGTTATTTCTCATTATGTTAAGTATACAATTAATATTGTAATACATGGAAGAACCTGTGTCGATAAATTGATACACAACCATCACGATTCATATTAATTTAATACTTATTGATAATTTATGATTTGAACATTATAAATAAGGATTTTAACTTACAATTTGTGCAGTATGTTATGCACTATTAAATATTACGTGGGCTAAGTGGGAGAATGTTAGTTTTTTCATTATTTTATTTATGTGACCCACTGTCATTTATTTTAATAATAATTAATTAATTGATTAATTAAAGAAAATGGTCATGTTTCTTCTCAATAAACACTGCATTCTTTTACTTTAATTAATTAATTAAATTATCCTAAATGAAGAGTCATATCTTTTCTCAATAGACACTGTATCATTTCATTTTAATTAATTAATTAAATTATCTTAAATCATATTGATCAATAATCACCATGATGGATGGTGGTTAATAATTGATAATTAAGAGAAAGGTTGTGTCTCTTCCTAAGAGATTTATTTTTTTTCTTATAAATAAGAGGAGGGTCCTCTCTCTTGTAAGAAAAAAATGTATCTTTTCTTTCCATCGGAAAGTACAAAAAGAAAAAAAGATTGGAGAGAGAAATTCTATCTCTTCAGACTGAATTTTATGATCATGAATACATGTATGTATACCTTATTTATGGGTACATGAAAATCATGAATTCAAAGATCTTGGTCATCATAAATTTTATGAATTTTTTGTCATAAAATTGAATTTTATAAATTTAAAAATCCTAACATATATATTTAACATGTAAAGTTTGATATTTATATTTATAATATTTTAGTATTAAAGTTTATACTTGAAACATATATTTTTATTTTTAAAATGTTAATAATAATGATATTTTTAATGTAATGTTATTTAAGAGTTATATGTGTAAATATGACAGTTAAGCTATTAGATACGTAAATATATAAGAATTAAATTGCATTATTGTCCCATTCAATAAATAACAATTAAAAATTAAAATATTTACATACATACCGCTCAATTCTTATGTATTTACATAGCTAAAACCTAAGCTTCAATTTTTACGTACATACAATTTTATTTATGTAAGAAAAATATGTATTTTCTTTTTTAAATGATGATATTTTTGATGTGTTATGTAAGATTTGAGTACTATAAATAAATAATTTTTTTAAATGTTATATATGTAAATATAAAAGAATTGGGTGGTACACATGTAAATGCCCTTAAATTTTTTTTGACATTATTGTCGTACGGCGCAACGTCTCTTCTCTGGTTCTCCAGTTCGTCTCCATCCTCTCTCGTTCCGAAGTGGAGTTTGGGTGAGCAGAAGCAAGGATTTGGTATCTTCGCTGGGCAAGCGTGTTTGTCACAAGAAGCGGCTTCTTTCTTCCCAGTGTAAGCAGGTACCAAGCCTCTCTTTCTGCTTTCTGTTCTCGACTCAGGGATTGTGTGATTTCTTTGATATCCACGTTTTCAGCTCTCTGCGATTGTGTACCATGATCCGAGGCAATGAATGAATCTATTCGCTTTTTGCTTTTTTTTTAACTAGCTTGAACATAGTTGTTCCCGATTTGAAGGTCTGGTTTCTCGTCTTAAGTTTCCTGTTCCATGATATCTCGTTTTAGGTTAGGCCTTCTGTTGTTGGTTCATGGTCTTGTAAATTTGCAGAAACTGAAAATTTTTATCATGTTTTTATCTTGTATTATGTTGAGTCAAGTTCAATGATTGTGCTTGTTTTTTTTTTTTTGTAGATCTGATGATGTGTCTTGGGTATTTCGGTATTTGGATGAAAAATATATGTTCTTTGTTTTACCTTAATGTGGTTCCTGGAATTTTTTTTCTTTTCCCAAGTCTTCTATGGCTCGAATTATGCTAGATAGCTTGAAATGTGGTAAATTGTTTTATTTAGGGCTAACTTTGGAGGAGATTTCTGAGGAATTAGCGCGGTAAAAAAAAAAAAAAAAAAAAAAAAAAAAACAAAGATAAATGTATAGATCATTCTTTAGATCTCTAGGAGAATTTGTTTGGATTATTAGGGCAGTGATGGAGACTTTTATGCTTATGATGAATACCTCAACATGTGAGTTTATGCAACTCCTGCTTTATTTTGATGCCACCTGAATGTTCTGTTTCAGACTTGGTTAGCACAAATAAACTGAGTAATGATGGGTATAAAGAGAATTGAGGGATGTTTCACTCATGGTGTAGATATTTGATGCTTAGGGCAGTTCATGAAGATTGAGTACTATATCTTCCCTCTCTTTTTTTTTTAATGGTTAAAGAGTGGTGTTAATGTGTTGGAGGTAATTTTTAGAAGGAAAAAATATTGTTTTTAGTATTATTTCAAGTTCGTGCAGTATAGACGACATTTTTCCCCTTCTTCTCATGTTACATCTCTTTTAAAATATATATATTTTTTGATTAAGACTGCCAATTTTTACCAAGTCATGAAAAACACTTTTTTAAACTGCAGAGATAAGGATGCTTGCATCAAACATCACCACCCCTGATATTGATGGGAGCCTTATGAACTAAACACACCACTTTATATGATATGTTTTAGATCTTCTATTTCAGTATTATTGATGGCAAGGATGAAAATTCTTTGGCAATATATTGGAATAAAATGACACCACAATAAATGACACCTTTGAATCTAGCTTTAGCATTGAAATTAGTGAGGTGGTTTCATTTTATTCATATAAGGCGTTCGCCTCTTTCTCCTTAGCTCCTTTTCCTCCATACCGAGAATATATTTTTCTTATTTGCATCACTCTTTCAATATTATCATCTTTGTCACTCATTTTCAACTTTTTATCATCTACTCTTAAACCACTCTTCACATAAGTTTGATGGTGAAATTTGTTCTTTGTTAAATCTAGTAGATATGGAGACATGATAAGGCTCCTAATTTGCTCCTAATAAGGAAATGAGGGGAATAAGTACTAGAATAGGAGATGGGGTGGGAGAAGAAAAGGAAGAAAAACAACCTGAGTTTTTTTTATTTTTATTTAATTAATCATTCCCTACTATCATGATTTTCTTATGTATAGGAAGCCAATACTTGTTCCACAAGGAACTGATCCAAATTGGAAAACATAATTAAACCTGAAAATTATAATAATGCCTAAACCCAAATAATGTTCAAATAAAACTAAACCTAATATATTTACTGTCTTGCATAATTGCATTGATTTTCCTATGGTTTAAAAGCTCTTCACTCAAATAGTTGCTATTGTAGACCATAATGATAGAGGTAATGGGAATGACTCTACAAGGGGACGTGATGGAGGGTGCTCAAACTCGAGGTATGATAAATCTCAAATTAAGTGCTACAATTGTAACAAGTTCGGACGTTATGCGAAAGAATTTAAAACACCTAAAAAACAAAGCTAATGAATGAGTCAACTACATAGAAGAAAAAAGAGAAGAAGATGACACTCTACTGCTAGCATACAAGAACAATAAAAGAGGTGAAAATAATACATGTACCTGGACACTGTTCCAAGCAACCATATGTGTGAGAGACGAAATATGTTCGTAGAGCTTGATGAATCAGTAAGCGATAATGTGTCTTTTGGAGATGAGTCCAAGATAGAAGTGAAAAACAAAGATAACATTCTCATTCGCTAAAAAAATGAAAAACATCAATTTATTTCTAATGTTTACTTTGTGCTGAATATGAAAAACAACATCTTGAGTTTATGATAACTCTTGGATTAAGGATATGATATTCACTTGAAAGAAAATACTATTTTCTTAAAAGACAATATTGATAACTTGATTGCTAAGGAGTCAGTGTAGAATGTTCTTGCTCAACATTCAAAACGATATTGTCAAATGTCTCAAAACTTATTATAAAGATGCTTCTTTGCTCTAGCATATTTGATCTGGGCATCTCAACTTCAGAGGACTCGAATTGCTTTTAAAGAAAGAGATGGTGAGAGGATTATCTTGCATCAACCACACTGATTAATTATGTGAAAGATGTTTACTCGAAGAGCACTTCAATAAAAACTTTCCAAGGGAGTCAAGTTCAAGAGCTCAAAAGCCTCTTGAGCTCATACATACAGATGTCTGCGGTCCAATAAAGCCAAGTTCACTCGGTAATAATAACTATTTTTTTTTCATAGATGATTTTTCACAAAAAACATGACTGTATTTCTTAAAACAAAAATCAAAGGTTTTTGAAATATTCAAGAAGTTTAAGTCAGATGTAGAGAGAGTGGATTCAAGATCAAAATTATGCGATATGATCGAGAAAAATAATTCACTTCAAAAGAATTTCAAGAATTTCGTGAAGCCAAAGTAATATGCCGACTTCTAATTGTTCCAAGATCCCCCGCAACAAAATGGAGTAGCGAAAATGAAGAATAAAACCATCCTTAACACGACAAGGAGCATGATAAAAAACAAGAGATTGCCGAAGGAATTTTGGGCAGAAGCAGTTGTATGTGCTGTTTATTTGGCTAATTGATCACCAACAAAAATTGTGTTGGGAAAGACGCCACAAGAAACATGGAGTGGAAGGAAGTCCGACATCTCTCATCTACGAGTTTTTGGATGCATAATTCATGTACACATGCCCAATGAGAAAAGAAGTTGGATAACAAGAGCGGTAAACTCATTTTCATTGGTTATGACATCAACTCGAAAGACTACAAGCTATACAATCCAGATACATGGAAGCCAATCATCAGCAGAGATGTCATATCCGATGAATGAGGAGAATGAGACTGGGGACTACATGATGATGACTACAATTTTTTTTCCATATTTTCAAGAAGAAGACGCAGAGCAACCAAGGATCGAACAAACAAGAGAAGAGCATACTACTCCACAAATAACATTGACTACAAGACTCAAAGTGACTCATCGTCTCCAACTTCAAGAGAAATTCAAGTGAAAGAGTACCGTGCTTCAGAAGATTACAAGATATTTATGGGGTAACTAAGAATCAAGATAATTTTACTCTTTTTTGTCTCTTTGCTGACTGTGAGCCCATGAATTTCCAAGAAGCCATATAAAACAAGAAGTGAAAAAATGCAATAGATGAAGAAATCAAGACAATCGAGAAAAATGACACATGAGAGCTAGCTTCACTTTCTAAAGGGCATAAATCAATTGATGTGAAGTAGATGTACAAAATAAAGAAAAATTCCAAAGGACAAATTGAAAGATACAATGTAAGGTTGGTGGTAAAATGTTACAATAAAAAAACAAACATCGACTTTGATGAGGTATTTGCTCCTGTTGCTCGATTATAAATTATTAGACTAATCATTTCTTTGACAACTCAAAATAAGTGGAGAATACATCAAATGGATGTAAAATCTGCTTTCTTGAATGAAATATTTGAGGAAAAAGTCTACATTCAGCAGTCATCAGGATATGAAGTCAAAAAACAAGAATACAAGATTGTATAGCTAAAAAAGGCTCTTTACGGGCTGAAGCAAGCACCAAAAGCATGAAATAACCGAATAAACAAGTATTTGCCAGAGAAAAACTTCATAAAGTGTCCTTATGAACATGCTCTTTACATCAAGAATGAGGATGAAAATGTCTTGATTGTTTGTTTATATGTCGATGACTTGATCTTCACCGGAAACAATCCAAACATGCTTGAAAAGTTAAAAAAAACAATGATAAAGAAGTTCAAAATGACAGATATTGGACTAATGACATACTATCTTGACATTGAAGTCGAGCAACGAAAAATGATATTTTCATCTCTCAAGAAGGTTATGCAAGAGAGATATTGAATAAGTTCAAGATATATAATAACCGACTTATAAATACCCCTGTAGAATGTGGAGTCAAGCTATCAAAATATGATGAAGGAAAACAAATTGATCCAACAGTCTTCAAGGTTTTGGTTTGAAATTTGCGCTACTTGACATGCAAAAGTCCTTATATTCTTTATGCTGTTGGATTTGTTAGTCACTATATGGAGACTTCGACTGCTATCCACCTGAAAACCGCTAAAAGAATTATGCGTTATATCAAAAGTACAATTGATTTTGGCTTACTTGACTCATCATCTAACAATTTCAATCTTGTAGGATACATCGACAGTGATTGAGTTAGAGACATTGATGATAGAAAAAAACACTACAAGATTCGTGTTCTTCATAAAAAACACTGCTTTCACTTAGATGCCAAAGAAACAACTAATTGTCACTTTTTCAACTTGCGAATCAGAGTATGTGGCTGCAACCACATGTGTTTGCCATACAATTTAGTTTTGAAACCTATTAAAGGAGTTAAGTTTACCACAAGAAGGAACAATCAAAATCTGTATCGATAATAAGTCTGTAATAGCGTTTGCAAAGAATCTAGTTTTTCATGATAGAAGTAAACACATTAATATGTGCTATCACTATATCAGAGATTGCATCGAAAG